TCACAGATCAACTTTTACTTTATGTTATTATTTATTTTAATGATAAGGAATTCACAATTAAATTTTTGCTACTAGCTATTCACTTTTATCCCTTAAAATGATGTCTTTCGTATTTTTACAGGGAATGAAAAGTAAAGATGCACCTTCCTGGGATCCCATTGGACTGAAGTTCCCAGAGCAGAATGCTCCCAGAGACACTCATTGCCACCTTTCCAGCAGGCCTAAGGCCATAGAGCATGCCTACCAGTATGGAGGGACAGCAAACAGCCGTCAGGAGTTTGAATACTTAAGAGGAGATTTTGGCGAAAAGTAAAGTAACACACCATTTTCCCAAAACATAAAGCCTGGACTGGGCTTCATCCTTATTTGCCATATGTCATCTTGTTCCTGAACTTCCCACCCTATTTTCATTCTATTCTTTCATCAACAAAACAAATAGTACATTATGCATACTTTCCAATAATCTACATTCTCTGACTTTCTTCCTAAAAGTAAGGTGCATGAAATAACATGCTTGAAGAGTTCCCTGTGTTTTACAAAAGGAAGAGACAATCAAATAAAAGCAGATGTCAAATGACTCATCATCTAACCTTGCTATCACTTTCCCTACCCCCCATATTACTTTCAAATTATAAATGGAAACACATCTGAAATTCTAGAAGGCTAGTAAGGAAAGACTGAAAATACAAGAACACTTATGTTTCTATTTGTCCTAAAGCACAGCACCTCTTGCCAGTATTTTGCAAATCTCCAGGTGACTTGTATGACTAAGGTCTTCCTTTCATAGTTTTAGCACCTAAATATTCTCATACAGGTTTTAGATCTTTTAGACCTTAGTACAGACAGTCCTTTCAATAAGAAACTTCAAATGCCAAATAATTTGCCATTTGCCTCATAGGAAGAAACAGTGATTTTATATTCTTCAGCAATAATTTAGACTCAATCAAACTAGAAATTAGTTTAATAAATAAATTTTATCTGTGTCCTAGAATTAATTCTGGGAATTTTGTTTAATTTCTATGCACTCTGATGGCTATTTTTTAACACATTCTATCGATTGATTCATTTTTCCTGGGTAAGAACTAACTCTGTATGTTCAACAGTCACAAGTCATACCATTTCTGTGCAAATTCCTGTATGAATTTTAGTTACTAGTAATTTGTCCACACTAACATGCTTCCTTAACATATAGATTTTTACTAAAATAATTGCAACCGTATTTTCTTTTTTAAAAAAAAAAGATTTATTTATTTATTCATGCAGAACTGGGGTACAGGCCAGAGATGTGGAGGGTGAAAGGATTCACCAGAGGCAGAGTGGGGTGTAGAACAGGCAGATTGACAAAGTACACTGCTGAAGGGAGCAGAGGGCGGGTCAGGAGAGGTCTGCCACGCCATGTGGATCTCCTCGGGGCAGGCGGGGATCGAACTCATGAGGAAGTGGTTTAAGCTTCTTAGTGCAGTGCTTTAACCCGCTGCGCCACCAGGGAGGGACCGCAACCGTATTTTCAATGTGAAACATGATGTGACCGTTACCTGAAACACTTTTTCTGAGCATGGACTGTCTCCCTGTTGTATGGGGAAGTAAAGGGCTCTCATTTTTTAACTAGTCATGCTTACTTAATATTCGCAAATATCACTAAGTGATCATTAGGATCAATGCTGTTTGGGATTAGGGAGAATGTCACTTACCCTTCCTTACACTGTATGGCTTTAGGAAGTTATTAGTCTCATTCATACATGGCAAGCTTTTCTTTTTTGTTTACCAGATCTCAGTTTTCCATTGGTCTCAAAACTCGGTCCTCCCATGGGATGATTTTCTATGTCTCAGACCAAGAAGAGAATGACTTCATGACTCTATTCTTAGCCCATGGCCGCTTGGTTTTCATGTTTAATGTTGGTCACAAGAAATTGAAGATTAGAAGCCAAGAGAAATACAATGATGGATTATGGCATGATGTAAGTTGAAGGCAAGGAATATTATCAGCAAATATCCATTGTTGCTATTCAGACTACACTAGTCCCACAGTGTCTCTAGAAGCATCCATTTAAATTATTTTACTATATACCTACCGTATGAAGGGACATATATGCCAAGAGTTCAATTTTCAAATACTTTGATTAATTTCCCAGAAGAATCTTGAAGCAAACTGTTGTAAAAAAAAGATACAGGCTGAGGGTAATATTTTCACAGATCAACTTTTACTTTATGTTATTATTTAGTGCAATTATTTTAGCCAAAGGATCAATGACCAACAAATCTAAACTGAAGTTAGATTTCTAATGAGTGTTTACTGGACTTCCCTTCCTATTTCTTATACATTTCTAAATTTCAACAGTGATTATGAAAGTCTTTATAGCGTAAGCTACGAAAGAAAAAACGGAAGAGTAAATCTATTAGGAAAAGAAGGTATCACAGGGAAAATTACCTAAATGTTGAAGTAAATCAATATATATTTAATGGAAAAAGTAGAAAACATAAGCTGCATTATAATTAATTATAATAAATTTAGAGGAGGAAGAGAGCATGGGGCCGGCCAACTAGCTGTAAAAATGTCCAGGTAAGCCAGGCATGACCAGGTGGATCCACTGGTCTTTAGACCTGGAAAGCCATTTACTAGTAGGAAACTGATAGCTTGGTAGGACAGCAAAGTTGTACTACAGAGTTCCTGGAGAACTCTGCTACATAGAAGCTGTATTCAGCAGTTAAGTCTGGGGCAAACTTATGACCTTCATTGGAAGAGCCCCTCCTTTTAAAGAATTTCCAGACATTCCATGGAGAAGGAGAGGAGGGGGACAGGATCAAAACTAGGGTGGGAAGAGCACACGGGACTATAGTGATAGTGAAGTGGTGGTGGGAAGTCCACGGGGATTACAATTGAGATGAAAAAATGTACAAAATGAAGAAAGATGTAATATATATATATATATTACATATTTATTTTATATATATATAAAATAAAAAGTAAATAAATAAATAAAATAAAGAACTTCTGCAGATTTCCACAGTATTGTAATAGCAAATTTGCTCAGCCTTTCCCTGATCTGAGGGGTACTGAAGGTTTGCTGACATCCTTCTCTAACCCAGGTGATATTTATTCGGGAAAAGAGCAGTGGCCGACTGGTGATTGATGGTCTCCGTGTCCTAGAAGAAAGTCTTCCTCCTACTGGAGCTGCCTGGAAGATCAAGGGTCCTATTTATTTGGGAGGTGTGGCTCCTGGAAGGGCTGTAAAAAATGTCCAGGTAAGCCAAGCATGACAAGGTGGATCCACTAATCTTTAGAGCTGGAAAACCATTTACTAGTAGGAAACTGATAGTTTGGTAGGGCAGCAAAGTGAATGTACTACAGATGTCTGTCCTGTAGCGTCACAAAGTCAGGAGTGATGTTCTAACCACAAGGTAAAGGTGAGTGAAAAAAGTTTCGAGATGTAAAGTGTCTAAGGAGGTCCATATATTTGTTCAAGTACCCACACTTTTAATATAAAAAGTACCAAGAAACAAAGAAAGTTATTCCATTAGATATTATTGAGTGGAAAAAGCTTTTTAGGCGATAACAACACATTAAATTTCCTTTTTGTGTCTTATACATGATTTGGGAATATGCAAGGAAATGTGGGTCCCTGTGAGGAGTAATAAAGCATGATGTTGTTTTTGTAATTTAAAACTTTAAAATATTGGATGTTTAAAAGAAATGCTTAGCAATAAAGGAAATACAAGGACAAAAGTTGTCTTACTGTGTAGATTTAGCATTAGTAAAAAGAGTTAATATATTTCTATGATCCATTAATATGTGTGGATAAAGCAAACTGGATTGTTTTACTGGATTTTAATTGGATTTTAGTAAAGTGGTCCAATTCCATGACATCCTTTTTCAAAGAGCTCTTTCCAAGCAGTGTGAAATCGGTTCACTGATGTGGCCCAAGTGTCATTTCCTTTTGTATGATCAATTCTCAACCACAAAAAAAAAAAAACAGCTAATGAAGCCAGAGATATAAGTGTTCTGCTATTTACTTAGCCATGGTAGACATACCAGTTAGGAACTTTGCTAACCCTTATTAGCATTGGTTAGCCTTAGTTAAGCACAGCTGTCATTCTTGAACAAAAATAAACTAGAATACTTCTAATATTAATTTAAGAAAACACAACTGCCATTTACTTTTTCATGTTATATGTAAATTGTTCCATAGCATAATCATTTCAGGCTGACATCACCAAATACAAAGTTCCAGCTTCAAAGGACTAGTTAAAAAGCCAATTACTCCAGAGAACAGGAATGTCCACATCCCGGGGCCTGAGAGAGTCATGGAGCAGGTTTGCAAGGCCAGATGCTGCTGTCCAGTGAACAGCCCTCTTGGCATTTATTTAGTAATAGTGAACAAGCATGATTTATTATGTGACAATAGCAGGAGAAATGGGGCCAGAGAAACAGAGAGTATTCATCTTTATGGGGAACAGGAATTCAAAGAGATCAAAAAGTATCAATTATATAGGGAACAGGGAAGGACATGTTGGCCATGTATATAGAGAGAACTTTCCTTAGATGGTTGGTATAAGTTTCAAGCAACTCTCAGATGGTCTCAGACTGACCACACATTCAGTCAGCAGTTACCTAGATATCCCCGGCCACCTTGTGTGGGTCATTGTCTCAAGGCAGTTGTGTGGAAGCGCCTTGTCCAAACCATTTACACACACAGGTGCAGAGAGAGGTCATGGCACACAGGTGCAGAGGCCCCAGGTAGGAGAGAGGCCACAACAAACTACCTGGAAAAGTATTGATCATTGAGAGAGCTAAGATAAATAATACAAGGAACTGCTACTGCTCTCCAATCAAAGCCTTTTATTTTTATTCCTTTTGCTGGATCTGTGAGAGTTCAGACCATTAAGAAAAGTCTTCTTCTTCAGATAAATTCAGTCTACAGCTTCAGTGGCTGCCTCAGCAACCTCCAGTTCAACGGTGCCTCCATCACTTCCGCAGTTCAGACATTTAGCGTGACTCCTTGTTTTGAAGGTCCGATGGAAACAGGAACATACTTTTCAGCAGAAGGAGGATACGTGGTTCTAGGTAACCGTGACTTATGTTGAACATATATATCATGAAATCCTTCCTTCCTGGAGGTGGTTGATAGGGCTATTGAGTCCAGAGTGAAAACCTCAGAATGCCAGACTTGCTCAGCCCTCGAAAATAGTCTTGTTCCACAGGACCAGTTCTCTCCTCTCCTGCCACAGCACACCAGACACAGTGCCCAACCGGTCTGCTTTCCCAACCACAGCTTCTCCCAGCTACAAACCTTGGGATGTGGACTGTCATGACTCCTGTAAAATGCTCTGTGGTCTCATCCTTGTTGCCTCTTGATCTTACACTTTGGTCTTTCTCTGATCTTAGTATGACACATTGTCCCTGCTAAAAGAAGTTCCACTCCCTCTCCTTGACTTGCAACACCAGCAGACTACCTGATTTCCCTCCGAAATTTTTTTTCTGGATCTTTATTCTGCTTGAATAATACTCTCTCACTCAACAAAATGTTTTTGGAATGCATTTGTATGGCAGTCCCTGTGCTAGGCAATGGACCATGATAGATCTAAAAATAAATAGAATCCTAGCAGATTACCCAATCACCACCTGATCTATTCCAATCTATACCACACACTCACAGTGTGAGGAAGGCCCAGGATAGGTGCTGAGAAAGAGTAAAGGAGAATGACATAATCCACATGCTCCTTTCCTTCAATATTCCCTGAAGGATGAAATCCCCATGCAGCCAAATCTAACTTCTAAAATCAGTACCATGTCCGACAGAATAAGCAAAGGTAATGTCTCCTCTCTTGGTCTAGTTCATGATTATGCTTTCCTTTCTCCTCCTTTAGTCCTACTAAAACACCTAAATTCACATTGCTCAGCCCTTCACTGAACTTCAGTGATAAGACCTCAAAATAGATAGCTTGAAGTGCATGATAGTCTGCAAGATCCTTTGAACACTCCTATCCTTATTAAGAATTTGTTTACTTGCATTGCGGCAATAGCAGCTCCTAACTGCTTTTACTCTTCGTTCTTTTTCCTCTGACATGTTCTATAGCCCTGCTACCAGTGATCTTTTTTAAGAAGCTAGTTTTAAAATGCAGAGATGATAAAGTGAGTTCTCTTGCTTAATGACTATATAGTCAAGTCTAAATTCCATACTGACACATTAGAACCCTGCCTGGTGGCTCCCACCAGCCATCCCGGTTTGCCATGCCTCCTCCACCCTTTGCGAAGGACAGTCCAATCTCATGCCCTTTGCGAAGGACAGTCCAATCTCATGCCCTTTGCGAAGGACAGTCCAATCTCCCTGGTGCTCTCCAAACACTGCAGCTGCTCCCCTTGTATTTGAGCACTTCCCCTGCGCAGATTTCCATTTCCTCCTCCTCACTTTTAAGTATTATGTGGTCCAATTAGTTGGACTCAGTTTCTCCTGCCTAGCTGGTATAACATGCTGTTCCCACCCACACCCCCCCAAAGCAGTGGTGTTCTAGTTCTCTCAGCCCCCCACAGAGCTAGCCAAGCTGTGTCTGACATGAAAAATGCCACTTTTTACTTATTATGTGTCGCACTTTCTAAAAGATATGAAAATATATAGTTACAAAATTATACCATAAATACAAATTTAGGTTTTGTTCTTGAAAGTTAATAGTATCTGTCTCCACAGATGAGTCTTTCAATATTGGACTGAAGTTTGAGATTGCATTTGAAGTCCGTCCTAGAAGCAGTTCTGGAACCCTTGTTCATGGCCACAGTGTCAATGGAGAATACCTAAATGTTCACATGAAAAATGGTCAGGTAGTGTGTCGAAAATTGTTTTAACAGTCTTTCTCCTCTGGCCTTGGATTTAGACCAAAAGCCGATTTACTTCACAGAATTATTTCATCAATCTTTTCTAACTAGAGACAAAAATGTGGGGAAGATATAACATGAAATGTAAATGCAGGCAATAATGGATCCAGATTCATATGGTGAGAAGTGATTCCATTACAGCAAAGAACTGTGAGAGTGTGGCGGAGCTAAAAATAAAATCAGCAACAGCATAACTCTTTGTTTTCACAAAAGAATTGAAAAACTCTTTTATAACAGCGATATCAGCAAATGTACCCAACTATAAAAACCAACAAACACTAAGACATAATATATACATAAACCAGATGTATATATGTGTATATACATTTATATTTTTCATGATAGAAATAAAAAATTGTTGGGCCTTTCCTGGTGATGCAACAAGTTGAAGCACAGCACTATGAAGCTAGGCACAGCCACTGCAGCATGAGTTCGATCCCCAGCCAGGGAGGTTACCCATATGACGTGGCAGACCTCTCCTGTCTCCCTGCTGCTCCCCTCAGCAGTATATTTCACTCGATCTGCCTATTCTACTCCCCACTCTGTCTCTGGTGAATCCTTTCAGCATCCCCACAACTCAGCACCCTGTACTTGTATGCATAAATAAATAAATCTTTTTTAAAAAGAAATAAATTGTTATAACCACCACTTTCATCTAAAATAATATTGTTAAAATTCATGAAAGTGTACAAAGCTAAATATTTTCATTATTGTCCTTATATTAATATAACTGATTTTTATTTAAGTTCCACTATATTCTATTACGCCTGTAATAATGAAACAAATCCTTACATGGTGCTTACTGTGCATCAGGTATGATTCAAAGTGCTTTCAGTGGGATCACTCATTTAAATGCCCAGATTCCTGTGAGGTCAATAGTATCATCATTCCTGTACAGATAAGTAAGTGATAGCATAAGAGAAGTAGTGTGTGAATTAAGTAGCGCTGGTGTATGAATTAAGACAGTCTGACTCTAGGTCTGTGCATTTCATCAATACCTTAACCTGTTTTTATAATACAAACATAAAAAGTCACAGGAATTCAGTTATCTTATTGTTCCTCTAGCCCATCTTCTCTCCTGCATCATTATTTTGTTCTCCATCCTAAGAGAAAGTCATTAAACTATTTCAATAGCCTACCAAAGAGTGACCCCTTGTGTTCAAACTGGAAAGCTAATCGTGTGTGTATGTCTGCTACAGTATTGATTTCCTGCAGTGAATTCTTCAAGAAATTTAGTTTTATGATAATGAAAAGAGATGAGATGAAGGTATACAATGCACCCTATCTTTTGCAGGTCATCGTGAAAGTCAACAATGGCATCAAAGACTTTTCCACTTCAGTAACACCCAAGCAAAGTCTTTGTGATGGCAGATGGCACAGAGTTACAGGTAAAAAAAGATTTCTCTTCTAGACAAGGTTTTCCTTTGGGCTGATGACTTGACAGAACTTTGAGCTGTGTGAAGGAATAGGTGATGGATGTACTCTACAAGTAGCCAAGAAATTAATTAAGATCAAATATTACTGTATTAAAGTGTTTATCTTGAATACACATGTGATTTGAAAATGGATATAAACAAAGTAATTTGGGGAAGTTGTTTAAGTAATGTATAACTTATAGAACAAATAAAAAGAACAAAATTTCCTAAGTCCCCCTTTTAAAGGAAAATATTACAGAGATTGCTTGCTTGGATGATATTTCCATGATACAGAATTTAGAAGTAGATTTTATTCTGGAATAAAGGCTGTTACCATGACAAATTAGACCCTTTTGTGTAAAAATTAACCACTCCAGAGATTAATAACCAGTTTTTTCCCTTATATTTCAGTTATTAGAGATTCAAACGTAGTTCAGTTGGATGTAGACTCTGAAGTGAACCATGTGGTTGGACCCCTGAATCCAAAACCAGTTGATCACAGGGAACCTGTGTTTGTTGGAGGTGTTCCAGGTAAGAGTTGCTCTAAGGGACACATTTCTAATTTTTTTTTAAAAAAAGCATTAGTTCTGGGCCCTCCCTGGTGGCACAGGGGGTTAAAGCACTGCACTAAGAAGCTTAAGCCAATTCCACATTGAGTTCGATCCCCACCTGCCCCCGAGGAGATCCACATGGCGTGGCAGACCTCTCCTGACCCGCCCGCTGCTCCCCTCAGCAGTGTACTTCGTTGATCTGCCTGTTCTGCTCCCCACTCTGTCTCTGGTGAATCCTCTCACCCTCCGCATCTCTGGCCTGTACCCAAGTTCTGTATGAATAAATAAATAAATCTTTAAAAAAAAATAAAAAGCATTAGTTCTCATCACTGAACCAAGCCATGTGTTTTCACAGTTGACCTAATAACTCAAAGGATTTACTGCATATGGCCTTTCATAGGAAAAAGCAAACTGATACCTGTGACTCCTTGTCCAAGGGTAACAACATGGTAGCACATAGAACCAGATGCCAGCATTATGACCATAGATATTAGTCTCCCTTTGCTATATTTGCTTATTTCTCTTTCTTTTACATGCACTCCTCACACTTACATAGTAAAATGTTCTCTTTTATCTCCAATACAAAGAAATTCACTTATTAATTCCATTCTAGGCTCTTAATAGTATCTTGGAGGACTAAAAGTTTGCTGATAATTGCTCCTCCTCTTTATAAAAAAGAATACGCAGTTTTCCCTGTCCAGGATTAGTCTGAATTGTGAAAGCTGCTGCAGACCCTAAATGTTTCTATGTAAAGAAATCAGCTAAGAGAAGTTTCAGCTTTTAGTTGTGTGAACATCATCAGGAGCATTGGTGCTGTCACTTGCCAAGATGGTGTATTGATCGGAGTGGTGACAGGAGGACACCTGGGGGCCCCCCACAACAATTTCAAATAGGGACGAAAATCAGGGGTCAAAAGCCTGATTAACTCAATTACCCTACCCTCGCTGTTGAAATATTTAAGACCTTCAAAAAGCAAACATCCCTCTCCTTTGATTTCCTTATCCAAAAACCATCCCCCAGACCACCTCCTGGCCCTGGTTCTGTTCTGAAAGGAATTCTGGTAAAGGCCATTGCTACCCTTCATGCAAGTACAATATGGAAGAGATTTTACATCAGTTCTTATATTTCTGTACATTGCTCTCTTCCTAGAAATCACAACACAGTTTAAGGTAATTCACAGGCTTCCAAAGGCTTAAGGATCAAATTGAGCAAAACATGCAAGGTCATTGATCTGACCCTTCCTCATCCTATTTCTGGGGCCTCCCCATCCCTTCTGGGACTCGGATCTCTCTGAATGTTCAGTGATCTCTCTTTGTGCTAGGTTTTTATGGGTGCAGTCTATCAATTTCTAGAAAATATTCTTCGTTTCCTAGTAATATTTTTTTAAAGATTTATTTATTTATGCATATAGAACTGGGGTACAGGCCAAAGATGCAGGAACAGTGAAAGGATTCACCAGAGACAGAGCAGGGAGCAGAACAGGCCAACTGATAAAGTACACTGCTGTGGGGAGCAGTGGGCGGGTCAGGAGAGGTCTGCCACGCCATGTGGATCACCTCCCGGCAGGGGGTCAAACTCATGCTGAAATGCCCTTAGCTTCTTAATGCTGTGCTGTAACCTGCTGTGCCACCAGGGAGGGCCCTCCTAATACTATTTTAGGGAATAGCTTCTCCCACTTTTCCTCAACTTCTTATTGAAGCTAACTTCTATAGACAGACACATTCTTCTTTGCTTAGACCTTGCCATGCATGCCACAAAACATCGTTGGAGGGAAGTATTATACTGTGTGCTGTCAGGGAGCATGGTTTCACTCAGCCACAGCACGTACTGAATGCCTTAGTAAGCACTAGGCTAGGTAGACCCCAGGAGAGGGACTCAAAAAGCCTGGTCTTCTCTCATCAAATTATAGTATTTGTTCTTCACTTACCAAATAAATATTTTCCTCTTTTATATGTTTGTTTCTTAGAGTTTGATCACAGTATTATACACTGCCACCACCCCTCATATTTACTAAGAGTTGTAAGATCCTAGGTGGGCAAGATAGACTTAACTGGATAAGCAATATTAGACTCTAAGATGGACAGGAGAAATAAATGTTTCTATCCCTAATCTTCCTTCCTATTCATTTATTTTTTACTGTTATGATGAAGTACACTGAGCACGGCTGAAGGATATAGTCTTCTCCAAATCTAAAACCTTGTAATTATCATTCTAAGTATGAAATGCTATTGCCATGTTTTATTTTCAGTACAAACCTTCTTCATATTCTTAATCTACATTGCTTAGGAAACATTATAGCTGCTTGATGATGTTTAATTTGCTGTCCTGTTTTATGTCCCTTCCTGGGTTACTGATGTCTGAATGTTTTTCATATTTCATCTGCTTCTGCTCACATATCTATTTGTACATAATAATAAGCTTTGACAAATGGATTCTAACTTCATGATATTTCAAGCTCTCTAAATTGCTTAAAATTATATTGCTTCTATCATCACAACACATTTATTGTGTCTGTACAATTAATAAGCATTAGGTTTCTTCTGGATCTCTAATTAAGATATGGGGAGAAAGTCCCCCCATCTTTCTCCTCAGGGCACCTGTGTCCACAGGACTAAGCTAGTTATCATTATCCTATTTATAGTTCTTAAACCCTGTGCTCAGAAAAATTAAAATTTGACTTAACTGAATTCATTATTTTCTCATTTATATTTTATGAACTTGGCAAAAATGCAGAGGCTTAAGGGTGAGAAATCACAATATGAATTAAACAGAAACATTAACCATTAACCACATCCAAAATAGTGTGAAAGCTAAAATTTTTTTACCCCATCTCAGCAGGTAAAAATTTTTTTTTTTAAGATCGGTTTATTTATTTATTTATGCATACACAACTGGGGTACAGGCCAGAAGTGCAGGGGCAGTGAGAGGATTCACCAGAGACAGAGTGGGGAGCAGAACAAGCAGATAGACGAAGTACACTGCTGAGGGGAGCAGCGGGCGGGTCAGGAGAGGTCTGCCTCCTCATGTGGATCTCCTCCGGGGCTGGCGGGGATCGAACTCATGCGGAAGTGGCTTTAGCTTCTTAGTGCTGTGCTTTAACCCACTGCGCCACCAAGGAGAGCCCTCAGCAGGTAAAATTTTACAAATCATAGGTATATCCAGAAAATTCACAAAGGTCTTACATGTAAATAATAGGTCCCAGCCTTGGAAAACAGCTAAAGTACAGACATACTTCAAAGGCACCCTGGGTTGGGTTCCACATCATAAAGTAACTCTCCAGCAATAAAGTATCTATCACAATAAAGTGAGTGACATGAAATTTTTGGTTTCTCTGAGTATATGTTATGTTTATACTATACTGTAATCTATTTAGTGTGCAATGGCATTGTCTCTAGAAAAAAATAACAAGGTGTACACATTAATTTAGCTTATTGCTAAAAATACTAGGCATCATATGAGCCTTCAGCAAATCATAATACTTTTGCTGGTGGAGGATTTTGCCTTGATGTTGACAACTGCTCTCTCATCAGAATGAGGTTGCTAACATTGGAGGTGCTTGATAATTTCTTAAAATAAGGCAATGTAGCTCAGTGTAGTAGTTCACCAGACTGATTCTCACTTTCATAAAACAACTCTCTATAGCATGCTATCTATAGAACTACCTTCAAATTTTTAGTCAATTCTCTCAAACCCTGCTTTCTCAACTAGTTGTCCTTTCAACGGTGCCCACCGCATCTTCACCAGTATATTCCATCTCAAGAAATCTTCCAAAAGCAGCAATTTATTATCCATTAAATTTTTATCATGAAACTTAAGCAATTCATTCACATCTTCAGGCTAATTTTAGTCTTTATGCTATTTCTACCATATCTGCAGTTACCTCTTCCACTGAAGTTTTAAACACTTCAAAGTCATCCAAAGGATTAGGAATCAACTTCTCCAAACTCCTGTTAACATAAAGCATAATTCTTAATGGCATCTAGAATTTTCATTCTTTCTAGGTTTTCAACTGATTTTGCCATCAGAAAATCACTATCTTAGGCAACTCCTTACCTAATTTATTTCCAAAGTAATAAGATTTGAATGGTCTAACAGCCCCTTAACACATGGTTTACAGAATGGATGTTGTGTTAGCAGACATGGAAGTAATAGTTATATCCTGTATATCTTTATCAGAGCTCTTGTGTAACCAAGTGCCAATGAGCAATTTTGAATTTTTTTATGAGTAGTTTCAGCAGTGTGCAAGCAACATTGTAAATACGTTGTCATCCAGGCTTTGTGGTTCCTTTTATAGACCATAGGAAGAGTAGACTCAGCATAATTTACAAGGGTCCTAGATTTCCCAAATGGTAAATAAGCATTGGTTTCAACTTAAAGTCACCAACTGCATTCGCTTCCAATGAGAGCGATAGCCTGTCCTTTAAAGTTTTGATGCCACACATTCACTCCTCTCAAATTCTTGATGTCATCTTTTTAGAAGATCGTTTTGTCTACATTAAAAATCTGTTGTTTAGTGTAACTACCTCCATCAATTATCTTATGTAGGTCTTCTGAATAACTTTCTAACGAGTATATCAGCACTTGCTACTTCACCTTGCATTTTGATATTATGGTTTTAACTTTTTTCCTCATGAACCTACATATGCTAGCATTAAACATTTCTTCTGCAGCTTCACTTCTCTCAGCTTTCATAGAATTTAAGAGTTGAGACCTTGTTCTGAATTAGGCTTGACTTACAGAAATGCTGTGGTTGACTTAGTCTTCTATGTAGAACACTACAACTTTCTCATCAGCAATAAGGCTATTTTGCTTCTAAATTTCAGTCAACTATTCAGTGTAAGAGGCGTAACTTGACTTTCAACCTACCTCCCTCAATAAACTAAATTCAACTTCTGACTTAAGGTGAGACTCAACTCCTCCTTGCACTTGAAATTTAGAGGCAGGCCTTGTAGGATAATTTTTGATCACTGAGTAGTATTCCATTATGTATATGTACTACATCTTCTTGATCCATTCATCTGTTTGATGGTATTCTTGATTAATGTAAATAGCGCTGCAATAAACTTAAGAGTGCAGGTTTCCTTTCTAAATAATGTGCGGTTTTGGCATGTAAATCATCTTAATGATGAAAGCAATTGCTATTTGTGTTCATCAAGTGATATTTGAGCTTAGAATGCCTCACTTATATTTGTATTTTTTCTTCTCAGAGTCTCTGCTGACACCACGTTTAGCCCCCAGCAAACCCTTCACAGGCTGTATCCGTCACTTTGTGATCGATGGACGTCCAGTGAGCTTCAATAAAGCAGCCCTTGTTAGTGGTGCTGTGAGCATCAACTCCTGCCCTGCAGCCTGACACAGCAGAGAAAAGCTGCCGAAGTACAAAGTTCTTTAGAGCACTGAAAGAAACACAAGAGTGATCCAGGAGAACAGCAATTCTCCCCCTGTGGAAGCTTCCATCTAGTTAAGCAGGACTTGAATCAATCATCAGAACTGGATGTTTATTATTTCTCATTTGGAGTCTTACCTTTGGAACCAACATGCTTGCAATGGATAACAATCAAAAGAATGTTAAACTTACTTTTATTGAGAGTACACTGTGTCCCCTACTGGTGAAATTACTAGTCCTATTTCAAATAAAATGAAGGAATTCTAAATAAACACTGGCACACATTTTTCAAGTGTAGCTAGATTCTCGGATTCATCTTTCTTTCAGAGAAGATAACCTTCAAACTGTACCTAACTTCTGTAGGCTATCACTACTATAGGTGCTGAATCATGGAGGACATTATAGAAGATAGTAATACAAAATAAAAAAAAAATTCAAAGTATGTAAGTCCTTTTATTAATTTTTCCTCAACCAACCATCAATTACAACTATTCTTCTAAAGAATTATAATCTTTTTAAGGTATCTACATTAGTAAAGTATAGAAAAAGAAAAAATGGGCTTGAATACCCGATAGGACATTAAAATACAGAAACTGAAAGAAGAGAATTATACATGAAAAATATAGGCAACATTGAAGACAGTGAGAAAATAGTCCCACATATCAACATCCTACCATTCAAGGAGGCTGCTTTACCCCTGCCTTCTCAGAAGTGGCACAATGTAAACTATGCCAGCCAAGCTGCAGACCCTACCTGGACCTCCTACAGTACCTCAAGAGAAGTACAGATAAATGTACTTGTATCTGCATGTTGAAACCAAAGAAATTCTTCTACCTTCTCAATAATTTTCAAGGACACTTCTTTACAGAGTTAGGATTTCATATTGTAATGTTTAGCAAAGAGAATTTCCTGACACATAACCTCTTAACAACCACAAGGTTTCAACTCTGAAACCATGCATTTACCATTTCTAAAAACTTGATTCATTTTTCTTAGATGGGATTCCACTTTCCCCTAGCTTCTGAGGAGACAGAAGTAATATATTTTTTAAAGGTATAATAATCAGGACTTTATAGAAAGTATGGATTGAATGCTACATCTAGTAATTTTTACTTGTTTGCATGGTCCCTAGAAAATCAATCTATTCTGATTTCCACAGCTCCAACTTAAAAGAATAGCCATATTTGAACCAATGCTCTATTTCCTCTCATTGCCACAGCTGAATTAACAAGGGTCTCACTAACTTCTTATTAATGCAAACATCTCTTATCTATTAATACAAAAAGGTAAGTTAAAACAATTGCATATTTTCTCTTGAAATTTTTAATTGGGAAAGAATTTTGTCCTTAACAGTAGAAATGGAAACCAAAATAATTCCATCTAGAAGTATGATTTTTAAGTGTTTACTAAACACTTAGAAAAAATAGAATTTTCCACTTCATAAACCTAATGCATGAAACTGCTCTTTGTCTACCAAGACCCACTTAGTTTTCCATCCAGAGTTATATGGAGATTTCTCAGAAGACAGTGGGTGATATCTGTTCTGAAAGGTCCCATTATCTGTAACATGGTATATAGGGTATCCAGATTCCCTAAATTGGTGATTGCAACCTATAACTGGGACCCTGAAATAGTAAATATATTACATTTTAAGGTCACCGAATTTTAAGGTATGGAGCCAGCCTTCTTTAGGGATGACTCAGAAAAGCCATTTCAGCACAACCAACAATGTAAAACCACAGACACTACATGGCATGGAGGTTTTTGTTCAATAAATAGTTAAGTGATTTTCAGAAGGCAGAGTTTCCATAGGTTATCTCTTCACCTCATCCCATAAGGCAATAAGGTGCCTAGGAGTCTGAATAATGGAAAAACTGATGGTGACTTCTCTACTTGGGATCCCCTGATCTCGCATGGGGAAGGACAGAGAGGAATTTAAAAAACTAAAAGAAAAACAAATAAAAATAGTAACATATCAAGAAGCATTATCCCGTCTTAAGTAGCTTTTCTGGTCCTGAAAAGTCAAGAAGATTGGCTACCACAGATAAAGCCACTCAACTTATAAACTTTACACAATCACGAAAACTATTTCCTACCAGAGAGGGGAATGGGGCAGGTAGAGAATGAGATTGGGGAATAAAAACATGATATGGAATGCCAAAACACATACAGAGAGGCATGAGCACAAGAAGAATGTAGCAGTTATAGCAGCAATTGATTAGCTGAAGGAACTCCTGAAGCGTGGTACTGACAATTCAGCAGAGTACCTGGCCAGCGCAGTAGCGCATAGTGAGTTTACAGTGAACTAATCAGCAATCTCTAACAGAGCATGTTTTTAAATTATCATGTCTAAATCCAGCTAATCACTTTGTTAAATTTATCCCTAGGTATTTAATTCACCTTGATAGGATTATAAATAAAACTGTTTTCAAGTCTTTTGAAATTTGTTATCATGTCCTCTAAAAATAGTGATGGATTTATTCTTTTCAATTTGGGTTCCTTTTATTTTTCTCTTGCCTAATTTCTCTAGCTAGGCCTTCCAGCACTATATTGAATAGTAATGGTGTAAGAACGGAGATCCTTATCTTGTACCTATCTTACAGAAAAGCTTTGTTTATCACCATTGAGTATGATAGCTCAGGTTTTCATTATATATGGCTTTTATGATGTTGGAGGTATGTTCCCTTTAGTCCCATGTTTGAGGTTTTTATCAGAAATGGATGTTGACTCTTGTCTAATGCTTTTTCTTAACTATTGATAGGATCATGACTTTATCTTTCCATTTGTTGATGTGGTGACCTACAATGACTGCATATATTGAACCATCTTTACATTTGTTGACCAATAAAGCCCATTTAGCCATAATGATCTTTTTAATGTATTTGGATTCGGAGCACTAAGATTTTATTGAACATTTTTGCATCAGGGATATTGGTCCACAGCTTTGTGTGTGTATAATGTCCTTGTCTCCATTTGGTATCAAATATTGAAAAGGTATTGGTCATCACTGGTTTGGGAGAAGTTAATAGTAAAAACTCTCTTGTACTGGGCTTCTATGGGGGGGTGGGGAGGGGAGACACTTATGATTACTGATACACTGTACTTGGTTGTTATTGCCTTGTTCAAGTTTTCTATTTTGACCTGACATAGGTTTAGAAGGTTTTGTTTCTAAATATTTGTCTAGTTCTTCTAGTTCATCCAATCTATTGGCATAAAGATATTCATAGTAGTCACTATAACCCCCTGCTTGTATTTCTAAAATGTCTAACTTGTCTGTCATTTATGATTATTAGAATTTTCTTTTTTTTTAGTGAGATTAGCAAATGGTTTATCTTTTATGTTTTCAAAGAGCCAGCTCTTGGTTTCCTTTGTATTTTGTACTGTCTTTAAAATAATTTTCTAATTTCTGAAAAATGTGCTTTTATTCTTGCTTTTGTCCCTCTGAATATGTCACAGTTTTTGTTATGTTTTAAGATATTTTAGTCCCTAGTTTTCTCAGACAGTCTAATTATGTAATATTTGACATACTTCTTCCTCTTGGGGTCAGTTAAGCTACTTGGTTATTTGTAGTTAAGTTTTCATTAAATTTGGAAAACTTTGGCCATTATTTCTTCAAATATTTTCCAAACTCATTCCTTTTCCTTATAGGATGACTTGATATTGAAACACAAAATTTATGCTTTTTTGAAGTCTTTTTTCTTTGCATTTTACTTTGGATAATTTGTTTAGTTATGCCTTTAAATTCACTAATCTTTACTTCTCCAGTGTCTTATCTGTTCTTAATCCCATTAAGAATACATTTTTTATTTTAGGTATTTAATTTTGGTCTCTATATCTTCCATTTCTCTCCTTGGCATGATTATGCTTTCATCTTCCACTTGAGCATTAATGGTGTCTTGCCTGCTAATGCTATAATCTGTCATTCTGAATCTGCTTCAACTACTACTGAATCTCTTCAGTATGCACTGAATTTTCCTTCTTTTTATTTCATGGCTGGTAATTTTTTATTGAATGCTTATCATTATTAATTTCATATTTTTGATGCTGTTATACTTTAAATTTGAAGGGTTTTTTCCCCCTCCTTGAATACAGTTTAATTACTTGGAATGTTTTATCATTTCAAGTGTTGCTCTTAAGTATTGTTGGGATAAGTCTGGAGCATTCTTCAATCTAAAGTCATCCCTATACCCCAACCCAAAGCCACCCTTCATTTAAGGCATTATCTTTTGAGGATTCTACTTTATGTTCTGTGTATTATATGCTCTCTCCATATTGGAACAAAATTATCTATGCTCTAAGACATTTTTTTCCTTTCCTGTTATTCCTTCCTCAGTCTTGGGTAATTTCCTCTCTGACTTTTTCTTTTCTTAAGTAGTATTAAATTTTTACTTGACATATAATTAAGTTAAAGATCATGTTGATTCTCAAGTCTCTTTTTTAAGCTTTTTGAAAATTAGTATACATTACCTTTTAGTCTGTTTTAGGCTACAATTTAAACATCTCCCTGTACTGTGTGAGCTCTCAAAATCTTCCCATTTGTAAATCCATGGCAGTTTTTATCTTCAACCTCATGTCATACAAATGCACATATGCCCATATGTAATATTAAGCTAATAAATGTTTCATTTTAAAGTATTATGTATATAGTTTCAGGAGCAACAAGATATACAAGACACTTGGGGAATTCCTGCTAAACTTGAAATAGTATTTTGGCAAGAACAGTTTCAGGGATTGATTACAGCAACCATTCAGAGAAAAATGAAACAGGCTGATTCCTGGGGCTGTTGCCAAAAGAAAATGAGAATATTGAATGCTGGACCAGATCTCAAAAGTGATCCTTAAGTCTAAATGACAATGTTTCTCATTATCAATTTTTGAAAATTTTAAGATGATTAACTAACTGGGATTTAAAATATATCATGATGATGGACCATCATTTTTCTGGGGGAAAAAAAAAGACTGGAACCAGAGCCTTAACCTCATTATTATAATTTAACCCATAACCTGAGCTCTCTATGCAAACAGTTCATATGCTTTGCAGATTAATCATGGACTAAGAACTTCCTTTGGTCATGCGTATTCTTCCAAAATGTACATCCCGCATGCTCCATTTCTCAATCAATATAATTATTCTTGGACAGATAATATCTTTATTATTAAAAAATATCAAGCCAAGAACTGGCTTCATGAAGTGAAAGTATTAAAATATTAAATGAAGTGAAAGCGAAGTCAAGTGAAAGAATTCAACTAATAACAACCCATAGTTAACAAAGGAAACCAATCTTATACACATTGTTTAGAATGGGTTTTTCCTAATTGCTGATTAAGGTGAATTAAGCTTTATCTTGAATTTATGACATTAATAATTCACTGTGAAAATGGTGATCTCTAAGGCACTTTCTAATTGTGGAATATTATTCTGTCTTATTTAACAAACATGACTAATGACTTCTCACTACACGTGTTTTATAGACTACAATTCTGCCTTTTCCTACTAAAGTAATTGTTTCAACTGTTGTCATCATCCAAAGGTGCCACCACTTTTATTTGTTTACCAGATTGTAGGAGGATCCTGGCCCATTACCCTTGACCTAGTCAAACCTCTACAAAAGACTTAATGATGCTATTTAGGATGCATTTCCTTGCTGCTTTGTGCAGGTGGCTTTCTCATTGTTGCATAGACAGTAATAGGAACATCAGTTATTGTCAGGCAATGACTTCCAGGGCATCTTCGGAGTTGCCTACAAAAACAAAACAAAATATATGTAGTTAAGATACTAAAAAGGAAATGTTTTAGAATGTCAAAATTTAAGCGCATAGTTGCTTTATATTATTTAGTTTTTAAATGTCACAAAATAATTAAAATATAATGGCACTGATAAGGTAGACATTCTAGACTTTATGTTGCAAATTAATTCATAAATACAAATTCATAAAAGATGTTCACTTTTAAAGATGTGCAGTAATTGCTAAATAACAACAAAAGAGGAAGGAGTGCAAAGTTTTAAACTATGGCAACTCATTCATGTATGTGCCTAAAAATTATTTTAGTGGAATGATTTAAAAACTATAATACTCTTAGAAAAGCATAAGATAAATGTGCTATTTCACATACTTTTCAGAGAATCACATACTATTCACTTTGAAAGAGTCTTCCAATGCTATCTAATCCAAAAATACATGTAGTGTTTAAATTCCCTTTCCAACATTCCTACTAAATAATCACCCCAGCTTTAAACATTTCTAAAGACAGGTCAATACTTCCCAAAGTAATCTAGTCCATCTTAGAATAAGTCTGATTTTTTTTTTAAAGATTTATTTATTTATTCATACAGAACTGGGGTACAGGCCAGAGATGCGGAGGGTGAGAGGATTCACCAGAGACAGAGCGGGAAGCAGAACAAGCAGATCTATGAAGTACACTGCTGAGGGGAGCAGCGGGCGTCAGGAGAGATCTGCCTCGCCATGTGGTCGCCTCCGGGGCAGGCGGGGATCAAACTCATGCGGAAGTGGCTTTAGTTTCTCAGTGCAGTGCTTTAACCCGCTGCGCCACCAGGGAGGGCCCAGAATAAGTCTGATTTTTAAGTGCCTATTTATTACATCTAAATCTGTGTTCCAAAAATCTCCAAAATAGTATTTGACATTTTGCTATGATAAGCAGTAGAAAAATGGAATAAATCCTTTTAAAGCTTTCTTTAATTTACAAAAATTGTTTTATTTTATAGAATCCCTATACGCTATAATTCTCAGTTCAAATCAAAGCCAAAGTGACACCAAAGCTGAGCACTGAGTCCTCTTATATTTGTAGTCTTCATGTTTTAAACTTTAGCTTCTTGAAATGGATGTTATCTAATCTTGACTATTAATTTAAAAGAGTAGTCAAAGTTACCAAAGAATATGAAAGAATTGGTTGCCGTTAGGATTTATAGATGTGTGGAAAACAACAACAACAACAACAACAAAAAAAAAAAAAACCCACAAACTGTGCTAAAAAAATAATTTAAAAAAAGCTCCTCAGTTATTCTCTTGGTAATATCTGCTAAAGCTTGCATTGATGATAGCTATTACAAGTTTTATCAGTAGTCATGATAAGTCATGTCACCTGGCTGGTGACAGCTCTTTCCCGTTACAGGCAGCACTGGAGCTCAGCCCAGGTTCCAGCCCAATTGAAGAATCTCCTCCTTCCACTGGAAACCTCCGTTGCTGGGTTCCAAACCGAAAAGGCATAATTCACCGAAAACCTAAATTAGAAAGGTAAAATGGTGGGTAGAGAGGGTAAGTTGGCTTCAATAGTTGTGTGGGACTTTTTAATTACTATTTCATTGTTGTCACACAGAAATATTCTCAAAATTACATTTTTAAAATATCTACAAAAGCATCTAAATACTGTTGCACAACTGTCCCTTACATATAACTTTACTTTTCACAGCAAATACAAAATATCCATTAGATGATAAAAGTCAACAGTATCCTAAGGTTAACATAATTCAAGTGCATTCCTGCTATGTGAAAAAATTTCAGTTTGACTTCACATGGTTGTCGCAATGAACAAGCTTGAGCCCCTACTCCCCTCCCCTGCGGCCTTTACCTGAGTCCTTCCTTTATAATATAGCTGAGTTTCACACCCACCATCATATCTTCAGTGAATCCTTCTATTCCTGATAATCATTCACTCCCTCGCCTCTCTACTTTTACAGAACATTAGTTAAAGTACCTTAACATAGTTGAACTAACCTAAGTTTAAACCCTGATTTTGGCCTCTCCCAACTATCTGACCTTAGGCAAGGTACTTTACTAAACAAGTTTCCCCAAGATAAATAAAAAATAATACTACTATTTACTGCAGGAATAATAGTGAGGCCTAAGCAAGATAATACACATAAAGGGAGGTACCTAATATTAGGTGTTTAATTAAATGTTATTTCTATTCAGCAGATACTAATGAACATTATTTTATATATATGTATGTATGTAAATATATATATGAACATGTGTGATAAAATATACACAATATACACAATGAGATACATATACAAATATACACAATGAGATACATGCAATATACAATATATTGAGATACATACAATATACTGTTACAAATACATACCCAGATGCTCACAAAGTCATATAAAATAATTTCCTTCTGACCACTATTATTTCTGCTTGGAACTCTATCCCACCCTACTGCTTCCATTCTTTACTTATTAGGGCCAACATTGTTCACTACGTCTGAATTTATCTTTTCATTCCTAAGAAAAGCCATAATCACCCCATTCCCCCTAATATGTAAGTTTTCACAATACTCTATTTCTGCTTTGTAAGTAACATCATCTCTCTTTTAGGATTTCTCAACCATGACATTACTGACATTCGAGGTCAGATAATTTTTTGGAGAGGAAGAAGGGTGTCCTCTGCCTTATAAGATGTTTGCAGCATCCAAGGCCTCCACCCATTACACCAAATAGGACCCCCCACAAAGTTACAAAAGTCAAAAATGTAAGCAGACATTGCCAAGTATTCCCTGGTGGGAAATGGGCAATAAATATCCTCTGTTAAGAACCACAACTCTAATTTTTTGTAAAAGATCTTGGTTAATTATTGTCCACTCCACTCCCATCCTATGATTGCCTTTGTCTCACTGGCTGAATCATAAATATCTAGAACAATATCTGGTACACAATAATAACTCTATTTTAATTGAGTTTGCTGTCTCTAAGGACAGGGAAAAAAAAAAAACAAAAACTGTCTGAGAACTATTTCTTATGCCTAGTGTAATATTCTAAGTCTAATGTGTTTATTGTAGAAATGATAAAACTAACTTAAGAGTTTTAGGAATTTGAAGAGTATATAATGGTTTCCATAGACCATGTATCAATTATCAAAGAAAAAGTATTATCTTCAATGACAAGTTAGTAAAAGCACAGTAAAGTCTATGATTTAAAATAACTATCTTATGTAGATACTATGTGTTAGCTAACTTAAAAAGGGAGACATCAACTTACCAAAATAGGCCGAGTTTGATTCCTGTAGGTGAATAAATCAATTGCTTCTACTGACCTTCCATAGAAGACTGGAATTGCCAAAGGAATGATGATCAAATGTTCCAGTGACACCCAGAAATTATGACATCAGAAGATTCTTTCACATAATTTCCTACCTGCTAAATAATAAAATATTGTGGTTTACAGCTATAGCAACAAGAGGATACTTACTCCAAAGTGTAAAGGTTTTATTCTTGCTCTCGCTGCATTGTTTATTTTCTTATATTGAATATTTTAATCCATGAAATAATTTATTTTTATCTACTCTTGACCTATAATTTACTGAATCCCCAGGAAATCAGACAAAATTCTTCTCACTTCGTATGATATTTTCTTCACTACCTTCTACTTTTCCTTAATAATCTAAGTCAATCCAGTTTACGTTTGTGTTCATCCTACTCCAGCAGCCTCAAGCTGTATCTCTATAAATTTCTCTACAGCTCTTCCTATGTGGGATTCTTTGTATGTGCTAATGCCTGGACTACCTCTTTGAAGTCTTCTAATTCCTCAAAAGATTCAAAATCCCCAAGTGACAGAAATAATCACATTTGAGAAAGGAATAATATACCTTGTGCTCTCCTATTCTGTCCTCTGAGATTGTGTTCTGTACATACCATCTTTGCCAAAGGAATGATGTTCCAGTGACACCCAGAAATTATGATATCAGAAATTTTTTCACTTCCTTTCCTACCTGCTAAAATATAAAATGTCTCAATTCTCAGCAACAAGCTGAAACTCAGGCTTTGGGTTGTCCTCCCTCGCCCAATTTCTGTGTCAACCTCACTTATACATTTAACTGTTAAACCAGAACATTACTCTCCAGGTAGCCATTTTTTTTTTCTAATTTTCATAGCCATCACTTAACTGTTAAGTGGTAGTGCTTCTCTTAGATTTACTAGAAAATCTTTTTTTACTATCTACATTTCAGACATTCATATGACTTGTTACAGAATATTGTCACTTAACAATATTAAATTAACAGTAGACAAAATCTTACACTGCCTTCTTTTTCCTATGAGGGTGTCATCTGTGACTGGTTGATAACAATTTTAACTCAGAAAACCCACCTAACTGTGTCATAGTCAGATGAACTGAATAACTGCTGGCCATTGTTAGCTAATATTTCACTAGGATCTAAACATTTGATGCTTAGGATGGCAATATTTTTTAAAATTTACATTTTTGAGCAGAGGTAGCCATGGAAAATGATTTTGTTATCAGAATTAAGTTTGAGTTTTAACAGCACAGTAACTAATACTTTAAACAAATCACTGACAGTTTGTCTGTAAGCTGGTATGTATTCCTACATTATAACTGTTTTGAGGACTACAAATAAAATATATAAAACCAACATGTCATCACAATTTAATCAGCACTAATTATTCCATGCAATTCTTGAAATCAGAGTATTAAGTCAGTATTTTACTTTTTACTCATTGATAAATCTTTAAATTTACAAAATAAAGTACCTACATGTGGAATAATCTTAACTTACCCTAACTTTACTTTTAACTAGTTATAGGAAAAACATTTTTAACTAGTTTATATGACACAAGTTATGCCAAATTCATTTTTTACGGGTGAGACAATTAAACAAATTCTTAATAATGAAATAGTATTTTTAATGGGGAAACTTTCCAGCACTACAACCAAGGATAGATGAATCAGAATAACAAAAATAACTTGACTCTCCAACAGATGAGAAATAAGCATAAATGGTGAAAAAAAAGGTAAAATCTCTAAATAGTCCTCATAAGCCTGAAAATAAGTCTTTTACCCTTAGGATATTGATTCATGAGATTCAGAAAAAGAGTGATATTTGAATCCTTTATCTTTGTTTCCTAAGATACAGATTTGTTTTAAAATTAATTCATACAACAAATATTTATTGAAAATCTACCATGAGCCAGGTATGTGTTAAGTGCTGAAGACAAAACACTGAGTGAGACAAACAGTATTTTTCCTAGTGAAGCTTACAAATTATGGTAGGGTATATACTAGACCAAGGATATTAAACCTCTATCTAAAGGACAAATAGGCATTAACTAGGTGGACATGGTTGGAAGGCAAAGACAGAGACAGGTGGCAAGGAGGCAAAGAATGAAAGAGGATGTATAAAGGCCACTTGCATGTAAAGAGAATAGAAGATCTGAAAGACCAGCAATAACTATAACAGAGTAAATAAAAAAGAAATTGGTGAGAGGCAAATAGAGGCCTTTGTTTTATCACAAAACTCTGACAACCTAGAAGGTATATAATTTACTGATGATCTTCAGTGCCAGGTGAAGAGGTTGAAAGACCGAATGTCAACATTAATTACTATTGGCTGTGTCTGTCAAATTATATGAGAAAGAAATGGGCTTAGCAATGGTAGTGTGTAAGCAAGAAAAAAATGGAAGGGCATCCAAAAATTCAAGTTATATTTAAATGACAATTTGGAAAGCTATCAGAACATGATTTTCTAGGAAGATATTTTCCCCACTCAGAACTATGTATCGTTTTTTCAGTCTTCCAGTACTGAATGTGCAACAGATGACTTGTACATATCAAATGCCTACTTTTAATTTCATCAGATTCTAAAGTGTGTAATCGCCCGGTACCGTCTATCTGGCGTTTCTTTGGGCTCAAATGATCCTGTTGATTTAGAACAAAGGGATGGCTGGGTAGAGATAATAACGCAGCAAGCAGAAGAATCTGAATAAACATTATTTGATCCGCCGCCCAGAGACTAAACTTCCGACATCCCGCGAACAGTTTCAAGACACACTTTTTTAAATCCCACGTCAAAGTCTAGTTACCCGCCAGTTACCCCGGCCTCCTGAGCTGCGGACGCTCAAAGATGTTGACCAGGCAGTTAAGAGGTGCGGCCAAGGGCCCGGTAGCTATGGTAACGATGAAACGCTAGGGCACTCTTGGCCGCCTTCGAACGTAAAACCTTAACCCGAACCTGGAGAGAAGCGCTTAGCGACGGCGGCGACTTGCGGCAGCAGCTTGACTTACGGCCGCCCCGCCCTTCGCACGGCGCCGTTGGTGGGAGGGGCCAACACAGGCGGCGCGCCCCTTCCAGAGCCCCGGCGGGCGGCGCTGCAACATGACGCAGTCGGTGGTCCTGCAGGGTAAGCGGCGCGGGGAGGGTGGGGCCCGGTCGCCGCCGAGCGGAGCCGCCTGGTCTCCCGCCTCATGTGTGTTCTCTTTCCTTGGTCACAGTCGGCCAGTGCGGAAACCAGATCGGCTGCTGTTTCTGGGACCTGGCGCTGAGGGAACATGCCGCGGTCAACCGGGTATCACCGCGTCCCCAGCCCTCCAGATCCCCCTCGCCTGTTCCGGAGTCTCTTGCAACAAAAAAATAAGAATTACTGTTTTTTTCTGACCGATATGAGTTATATGGAATGTTCTCAGAGAAGTATGCGACCGTTAGACACTATAGACTAAAAACCAGATATCTTAGCTGTAAAGTTCCCTAATTCCAAAGGGTTAATTAACCTCTAAATTATCAAGATCTTCACAAAAAGAGCGATGAGATTGGAAATGTGAAAGCATGTTGTAAAACAAGCTGTAGATGTGGTGACATATTCTTAATTTAACCAGTGGGCATTTAAAATGAAGCCTAGGCATACAAAGAAAGCTCTCCTTTGAGCCACCTGTTAAACCGTCCCGTGGGGAGTCCTTTCTTCTAGTCTTAATCGATAGATCACAGTATTTGTTCTTCTCTAGTTTGAAAGAACCAGCCTAAGCATTTATGCCTTTTGATCATAGCTACATACTAGCCTTTCTAATACTGTAGTATTATTAAATTTGAAAGGATTTCATTTCGGAAATAGAAAAAATTTAATAAAATGCTATAAACATTTTTTTTCTTTTTAGAAAGGAATTTATGATGAGGCAATAAGCAGCTTCTTTAGAAATGTGGATACCAGGTAAGATAGGATTAAAGTCTTTAACATAGTGTATAGATTCTTTTCATGTCAACAGATTGAGGTAATTTTTCAAAGAACATTAAAAACAACTGAAAATGTAGATTTGACATAATGTGAAAAAGATGATTTAAGTTTTTCTCATTCAAAATATAGTCTCGTTATTTTCATATCACTAATATTTTCACATTCTACAGAGCAGGACAACAGGTTTCCTTTTTAACGCCATATTTAAGGAACAAAAATAAACTTTAATGTTCCTCTTTTTAATGTGACCTTGAAATAAAGTTCCATTATAGGAATGCTGAAAATTTCCCTGAGAATATCTTGCTAATCAGTAATGACCAACTTTTGAAAGAAAAATACATTGTATGCATTTCTATGATATTTTTTGTGGTCAGGGATATTTGCTCTTTAATATAGTGCTGAGAAGGAGAAAGGTAGTTGTCATTACTTTTATTTAAAAAGTATGTGTATCACATACCTTTTTGCTGAAAGTAATTTGACATTAAGTTCATGTATTTTCAAAATGCTTAATTAAACTGTGGTGGTTTTGAACTTAAAAAATACATGCTTAATATCCAGCTCTTGTCTGATTTACTAAAAATTCCAGTTCTGGTTTGTATTAGTTGGTTGGGTATTTGAAACTGTCTCCTAGGGAAGTTCAATCAGTCCCCACTTGTTTGGTGAATTCTAGTCTTACCCTTGGGCTTGCAAACTGAGACACTTTATTGACACCTGAGAATAGGTTCAATACACTCCAGAATAGGCAAACCAATCTCAAAAAGAATGAAGGCTTAAAAAGCAGAAAGCCAGTATAGAAACGATAACTTTAAAAAAATAAGATGTTTACTTTCCTTCAAAGTTAGATTCATTTTTTTTAGGAAATCAATCTGGAAATTAATAGATGGTTGCTTGGTGACTACGGAATCAAACTCAGGAAAGTTAGGCATATTAACCTTAGTGACTAATTCATTATCTTTATTTTAATGAGAAATGTCACATAGACTAAACTTCTTGTTCATAAGCTAGAATATCCTCACTACTAAATACTTTGAAGAGACTCAAATTTTCCTTTGTTATACTTCCTTTTAGGTGTTTCACTTCTGACTAATTCTTCTTTCATCCCCTCCATTCTTTATGTCCTATCCTTTCACTGAATATAACATTGAAACTCAGCATAGGAGCTGTTTTCTCTTAATAAGGTAACTTTACATAACTGTACTCTTACCTACCCTGTTTGTTATATAATTTAACCTGAGCGCATTCTTGCTTCCTCAGTATCAAGTTTGGGAAAATGGGAGAAGAGGATTCTATCTTGTTCTTTCCATGTACAGTTGGCACATGTAGATTCATCTTCTCAAGTTAGTACAAAAAACCTTTTTCAAAAACAAGACTACATACTTGTATATACTTTCATATCAACTTGAGGAAATGATAATACCTTTCTTATATATATGAGAATTTTCAGCAGTGGAGGATAAACCTTTTCTGTAAAGGGATAGGTAGTAAATATTTTCAGTTTTGTGGACCATGAAGTCTATCAGAGCTACTCAAAACTCTTGTAGGGTATAGATAATATGTAAAGAGTGGCATGGCAGTGTTCAAATAAAATTTTATTTAGGAAAACAAGAACTTGGTCATACTTGACCTGCAGCCCTTAGTTTACCAATCCCTGTAGCATCTCCTGTGCTCATTTACACTCCTCATCAGGGTGCAAAAAGTAAGACATTGGCATCAACTGTGACTGATCCTTTTTATTAGAAAAGCTTCCCAGAATACCTCCCCAATATTTCATTACCCAAAAATAGACTGCATGGCCAGCTCTAACTACGAAAAAACGCTAGGAAACTTAAGTACCTCACTTTATCAGTTTGATACTAGGTAGGCAGGTTTTATTATGTAGATGGAAATTACCTTTATTACCTGATAGCATTATTACCCATGGATGCTCTTAATGATTTTTTCTCATTTTTTATCTTTCAGAGCTGTTGGTGATGACAGCAGCATTTCTAAGGGGAAAATTCGTTGTTTAAAAGCACGAGTAAGATATATTTAGCATTTTTTCTAAATCTTTCAGAGAAAACTTGTATCTGATAAATAATAAAAGGAGCTTTCTTGCCACTAAGGACCTGAATTACATACAAATACAGGTTTGTCGGGGACCAGCCCCAACTTTGGTTCGGTCCTGAAGAGGGCAGAGAAAGCATTAGCACTGAGGTTCTGTGAAAGAAAAAGTGAGAGACAGCACACTCCAAAGCTTTGAGAAACTGCTCTGTTTATTGCCCAGGTTTTTATATGGTAAATTTTGGCATTATTACTCAATACCCATCATGACCACATATTTTGATACAAAAAAAAATATGAAGCATTAGATGATTGATTACACTTCTCGGGAAGGAGGCAAAACTTTACAGTCATTTTTACTATATCAGAGTAATAATTTATAATTAATTATATCCCAGAAAGCCATACTTAATCATTAGAAACATCGCCATAAAAAACAATCATTTGTTACCTAAAAAACATCAAGTTACCATTACTAAAACTTGCAAAGGTCAATATTGTTTTCCCATAAGAGTCATTACAGTCTTGGCTCACTAAGCAACTGGATTCTGTGGCCCAGCAAATCAAATAGTTAACATGTTTTGAATCTTTTAGCAACACAAGAGTGGAGACCATGCACCTGTTCACTGAGAAGGGAACTTCCTTGAAGCCAGTTTGACCCATTCTTCGCGACCAGGTCCATGACCAGGTCAAACAATCTGTGGGGAACTAGGCGCAACATAGGTTGATATGTCGTTTGAAATAATGGGAGATTTATTTGCATTGGTGTTATTCCCAATATAAAACATGGATCCAGGCGCCCTCCCTGGTGGCGCAGGGGGTTAAAGCACAGCACTAAGAAGCTAAAGCCACTTCAGAATTAGTTTGATCCCCGCCTGCCCCGGAGGTGACCCACATGGCATGGCAGACCTCTCTGACCCGCCCACTGCTCCCCTCAGCAGTGTACTTCGTTGATCTGCCTGTTCTGCTCCCCACTCAGTCTCTGGTAAATCCTCTCGCCACCCCTGTATCTCTGGCCTGTACCCCAGTTCTGTATGTACAAATAAATAAATCTTTAAAAAAAAAAGGATCCAGCCACATTACAGTAAATAATTATCATAACCATTTTATGTAAGACAACCTAAACAAAAATACTTCTAGTCAGTACCCCATATTTAGACTTAGTGTCATGCCAACAACACTTTTATTATGTGATTGTTTTTCTACAACAAACTGCTTTATTCAATTGTTGATCAGTAATTATTGGTGGTAACAAAAAAGAAAGGCAGATTAGATACTTGGAAGTAACATAATAAGAATCAGTCTGGGAGTAGTAGCTGAAAGAATGAACAGTAATAGTATGGTGGTGTCTGGGAACCAACTCCTTGTGGCTGATCTCTGATGTTTGTAGAAAACAAAACATAAGGCAGAGACCATGTACTTGTAGACTATCGACAGTATTGATTACCACTAGATATACTGCGTCCTAATCCAAATCATAGACAAAGAGATGCCAACATATACTACCCCACTCCCAATTTTTTAAAAATATTTTTGTTTATGCGTACAAGAACTGAGGTACAGATAGAAGTGCAGGGGATGAGAGGATTCACTGGAGATAGAATAGGGAACAGAACAGGCAGGTTGAAATACATTGCTGAGGGAGGCAATGGTCGAGACAGGAGAGATCTGCCACACCAGATGGGTCACCTCCCTGACGGATTGAACTCATGCTGCACTGGCTGTGGATAGCTTCACAGTGCTGTGCTTTAACCCATCATACCACCAGGGAGGGCCCTCCACTCCCATTTTGATCCTTTTCCTACCACCATCAGTAAGCAAGGTAGAAGGTGGAGGAAACACTTGAAAAGGGTAAGTTAACGTGTTTCTATATCCTTTGACTTGTCCTGAAAGGTTGCCATTGACCTAGGAGTGCTTGCTATTAATGTGGCTTTGATCATTGATATCTAGCCTTCCCAAGATAACTTGGTGCTTTGATTTCTCCACTGTGCAAATATCTTAGGCTAAGAAACAAATACTTCTAATTTTAATTTCCCAGTTATATATTATGTCAGGGTCTTGATGTTAAGTGACTAACACAGTGATGATTCTATCAAAACATTTCAGTAGAGATGTATCAGTTAGTATGCTGCGTGTTACCTCCTTTGCCAGATTGCAAGATAATTGAGAAGGGATTTATGTATATTTAATCTTCCATGTTTCAAAGAACAAGGCCAGTATAAACAACTTTTCTTTTTGTGATCTTACACAATTTGTAGTACTACAGTTTTCCCATATAGTGGTGTCCCTCTTATGTGATTGTTTAGGTGTTTAAGGTAAAAATTGTATAAAATCAGTAATATCCTTGAAAAATCTCTAACTACTACTAAACAACCCTATATAATATATGTAAAGCATATATATATTGTTATCTAAAATAATACATTTGTAAAATAATTTTATATCCTTTCAATATACTGCTATAATATACTAATATACTGTATATTATACAATTAGGAATATTCTTTAATATACTATGATTTATATGATTTATTTTTATTGCAAAAAAAATTTTTTTCAGTTTTGCTCTTTTTATTTATTGGGCTTTTTTTTTTTTTTTAAAGAATTATTTATTTATGCATATGGGACTGGGGTACAGGCCAGAAGTACAGGTACAGGGGCAGTGAGAGGATTCACCAGAGACAGACTGGGGAGCAGAACAGGCCACTTGGCAAAGTACACTGCTGAGGAGAGCAATGGGCGGGTCAGGAGAGGTCTGCCATGTCATGTGAGTCACCTAGGGAGCGGGGATTGAACTCATGCTGAAGTGTCTTTAGCTTCTAAGACTTTAATCTGCTGCATCACCAGGGAGGGCCTATTTATTGGGCTTTTTTTCTTTTATTCACTGTAGAAAATATGGTAAGCAAAATACAAAGAAATGGGTAGAGGGCATATAATATTGCTAACATTTTACTGTATATCCCTCCCATCTTTTCTTTCTGTAGTTAATTTTATGTTCTCATTTTCTTTTTAGTATAAGTTATTGCCCATGAAACTAATGATGAGTTAGCTATGAGGTACTTGGTGTAAGAAACCCTTTGACATCTATCCACGTAATACTAAGGTTACTGGTTGTAATTTTGTTTTAAATTTTTAATTTTAATTTGGGGATTACATTTTTAGTTCTTCATATGTATACATATTCCTTGAATTGTGCTTCATTGAGTACAACACAGTTATTCCTAGTGAATAAAATATATTAATGCCCCCTTTATTTCTTGAGATTAAGTTTGCTTTCTAGGAAATTAACAATTACATTGATACATGAATAAAAGCATTCTTAGAAAATCAGGTGAGGGGATTAGTCAGTTCCTATCCTTTATTTTTGTCATTTGAAATATGATGAAAATTTGGAATCTATCTTTTTTTAAAAAAAA